TCTCTCTCTCTCTCTCTCTCTCTCTCTCTCTCTCTCTCTCTGCCTACAATTCTAACAGAACTAATCCTAAATTCATATATTTATTTTTGAACAAGGCTATCATAGCCTTCTTTATTCAGCCTCCAGCACTATGTCAAACCAGAGAGAAAGGTGAGGGGGAAATCTGAAATCTTCTTCTGCCAGGGTGGGCAATAAGTAGTTCTTGTGCACGACATTTCTGTAGGATTACCGCGTGAATATTTTTCTGAGACAACAGTGGAATGATTCACGGCTGGCCTACAGTGAGTATCCGGATGATTCCCTGGACTTGGACCCATCTATGCTAGACTCCATTTGGAAACCAGACTTATTCTTTGCCAATGAGAAGGGTGCCAACTTCCATGATGTCACCACTGACAACAAGTTGCTGAGGATTTCAAAAAATGGGAAAGTGCTCTACAGTATCAGGTAAGCCTCCATGGACTATGCCTGTTTACTTCTCCATTTCATCTCTAGCCTAGATTTGCCTGATTTTTCAGGACAGGTTGTACATAAATATTTGAATTTGTGGTCTTTTGCATATCAGTCAAATAGTAAACTTGGTGGAATAGCAGAAATTCCTGTGGTCATTCAAGTGTGACATGTAAGAGCACCTGTGATGCTGCACAGCAAATATGTGTGCAAAGAGTGCAGGGTGATGGTATTGCAAATACTTGAACAAATGCATTTTTGATTGTTTTAATAAAGGAATTCCAGGTCCTTCATTTTAATTGACGTGGAACATAATGCATGAACTCACATTTCAATAATTCTTTCAATTAACTACACACAAAAAATCAGTCTTGACACGGTCAATAGTGTACTTTGGCTAAGTAAGTCTTTGAATCTCATCTCAGCTTCTAACTATGCATGTAATCTCTTAATTTTTCTTGGGCATGAGTTTAGGATAGAAAATTTCTGAGATTCATTTTTTAAAAATTTTACATTCACATATTATCTTGAGAAACCTCATTACCCTAGGCTTGAAATAATATCCTCAGTTTAGGAAGTGTAATAGTAGTTTCTTTGTGACTCTGCAAGTATGTTAGCTATTTCTATTTTAATTTTATTGTTGTGCACAAAAATAGCACAAGAACATGACTTTTGGAATGAAACCCAAGTTGTGACACTACGTTATGTGACCTATAACACTCAATTACTATGATTGTGAAACAGAAAATATTTATTTAGCTCTAACTTACTTAGCTCGAAATATTCTTTTCAAAAAATTATTGAACTAATATTTGCATATCACAATTTGAACACTTAAATTTGCATATCATAATTGATTCACTAGATTTTAGCACATTGACAAAAGTGTTTAGACAAATATCTATAAATGTTCTTATGAGAATGAAAATGTGTCAGTCAGCAAATATTTCCTTTGAAGGGTTAGATTGTAAATATCTGAAATTTTCTAGGCTTAAATTACCCTTGTTACAATTACTGACTTCTGTCATTTAGATAAAAAGTAGCCATGGACAATGTAATAACAATCAGGCGTAGCTCACTTCAGTTCAACTTTATTTACAAAGACACACAATGAGTCTTCATGTAAAGTATATAAATATACTTTGCACAGTATCTAACAAAGAGTGCATGTTCAGTCAATAAAATGATGATTATTTCTGTTCTTTAATAAATATCTATTTTTAAATAGCAAGATCTTTGAGACTCAGAAACTTGACTTTGGCCCTTCTGTAACATTTTCCAAAGGACTAGGAGATTATACTCCATAGGAGAAATATTTACTATGCTGAATAGCAATTGGCATTTAAAATGTCTTTTACAGACTATAGCCCTTGCTCTCCAATTTTGTTACACACCCAAAACCACTAGTGTTCCTGCAAATGACTTTCACAAGTTTGCCTACTTGCAACCATTACAACCTCATTTAACCACTCTTTATATAATTGATTCTTGGGGCCGGGGAGATGGCTCAGTGGAATAAGCGCTTCCCTAGCAAGTGCAAGGGCCTGAGTTCTATCCCTGGTTCCAAAAAAAAAATTGATTCTTTATTGCATATTTCATTCTTGCACCTAGTAAATTCATGGCCAACTGATGGATGAAAGTTCCAATGTCTTATGGAATAAAAGAGAGTGCTCATTTGTAAAATGTGCCAAAGCTACTGTTTGTAGAAAGAACCAGGAAAGTTGCTTCATTATGCACTTTCCATTTAATGAATAGTCTGTGTGATGAAGCATTTGTTTAGTGTAAGATACAGTGTTGGGCATGACCAAAGCTGATATGACCTGATCAAATGGGACATATGCAGAGCATCGTGCTGGGGAGAGTTATAAAAAGCAGCATAGTGTAACAGCTGCCTCAGCTAATCCTCTGGGCCTCGGGTGGTGTTTGTTCTAGTAAATACCTGGCATTAGGCACTGCTGAAATAAAACTAGGTTGTTGTTGTTTTTATTTTCTTTTAATTATATGAAAGTCTTTTCATTCTAGAATAATGAAAGATATAATGTTCCCCAAACCTAGATCAACAGACAATTGCTGTATCTCTGATTCCCAAGGGGAACATATTACAGGCTTGGAAATGCCCTAACAGTTTCTAGGATTGGATGAAAAGGTTTGTCCTCACAAGCTCCTTTAGACCTTTTTCCTTATTAGAGTATTCCCTGAAATCAGAGGAAACATCTTTGGTGAAAGATAACTGGAGATGTCATTTTAAGGAGACCCAAGCTCTTGGCAGATTTAAACTGCAGGAATCTAATTATTTACCTAGAAGGGTTTCCAATGAGCTGGACATTGTGCATGGCCTAGAACTCAAGGGCTGAATAAGATGTGGTCCTTGCCTTAGAAAAGCTCCAATCTAACAAAGCAGGTGGACTATAGACAAATTAGTCAATATGAATAAATAGGGTATCAAAAAATTGGTTCTGACTGTGCAAATGAATTTCTTGATCGAAATATAACTAGAATTTTGGGGTCAATATCCACACTTCTATTTGAATTACTTGAATCAATTTAACTACATGCCAAATAATAGTTAGTATTAATATATGCACATTTGAAGATTTGACTCAAGTTTAAGGACAAGCGGACTATAGTTGTTGATATCTTAAAGATGCCAAAAAGTCCTTGTTGATATTCCATTAGGAAGGAATTTCTCTAGACTCTCAGGATTACAATTTAAATACCTGAGTGCATGCAGAAAGGGAAAGTATAGGCCTCAATTCATACTCTGGTATAGAGATGATAGATGACTTATTTCTGATAGTGGGTTTGATGTATGTGAAAAATAACAAGAACAATTATATTGAGTCTTTAAGAGGAGCAGTGGGATAGACTAAAGAAACCTCGGGAGGATACAAGGCAGGGGCAATAAACTCATAACTCATAAATTATCTCCACGTTACACAGTTACATAATTACTTAAGCATTTGTTCTACATTTAAAAACTTTTTTTCTGTACTGATATTTGATCTGTTTTACTCTAAAACTTATAGCAAATACTTATGGTATCTTATCTAAGAAAGAGTTCATGATTTATTAGATGTGTAGGAGCAGAGGTAGATTTAATTTTGCACAAAAAAATATCTCAATGTTTTAATGGCCAAGGAAAATACAGAAGGAACTATATGGTCCCTTAACTTTATAATGAGAAAGACCACAATGCTCAAGCTTTTGTATATATTTCTCAAAAGGTGATGGAATTTAAAAACAAGGGGTATAGAGCAGAACTCCTTAAGTAGATCAGTATTCCATAACCCCCAATGCAAAAATTTAGGGGACTTGAGCAAAATTTGAATAAATATTTTAAATATGAAGAAAGGCTTTGTCATATCTCTATCCAGTGAACTAAGATCCAGTCAGTGTTGATGAAAAAAGGCCAAATCTGTTGCTCTGCATCTCTTCAAATTTTTATTTGACATTCACTTCTGTAACACATACTCTGTGGGTGTACTTTCTGATTTTTCCAAGTGTTTTGTTTACTTGAATAAGTAAGTGTTGATCATCTTCACAAAAGTGTAAGAAAAAATACTCATCTTGATTTGTATGCCCTCTTCAGAGAGAGTCAAATTTTAAATTCATATCACTTTTAAAAAGCTTGAGGCTTTAGTGGACTAACAAGTACCTTTCACTGTCCTATCTATCATTATTCAAATACTATTTGTTAAATTTAGTATCCTGAATAGAGTAAAAGTGAAGACACCATGAGATATGATGGGCAAGGTGAAAGAAAAAAGAAGAAGGTGAGCATTTTTTTTTTGTTTTTTGAAAATAATTTTATTGAGAAACAAATAGCAATTGAGACAGTTTCAAAACTGATTAGCAGGACAATTTCAATACTTAATACATTGCATATTGTTGTCTTAGTGGTTATTCATTGCACAAGATGCAGACATGATATCCTGTCCACAAACACTATTAGAACAAATCATTTTGGAAGAGTAATTTGTCTCACATATCCACTATATTTTGCCTAGTGATTTTTGCCCTTTAATCTCCTTCATTTTGAGAATTTTCTATCTGAATTTTGAGTTTTACATGAAAAAAATTTTAAAAGTAATTTGAAGTTACTTTGTAAAGTATCCAAACCAACATCCTTGATTTACTAACAAGGATGTGACTTGTTTCCGAAATGAGATTAGTACAGACAATGGAGCTCATGAGTAGGAAAGCTATGACAAGAATGAAAGCTTTTCACTTGTATTTCAGCACTGTTATCTCCTACCCCACACTGATTTCTCATTAGTCTAAACCGAGTGCAAGCACACAAGCAAATACAGTATCAAAGATACGTCATTCTGGAACCAACCTTCATGAGGGTATGGAGGAAAAAGTTAAAATTAAAGATAAGAACATATAGCATACAAAACTTTTACAACCTATCTACTTTCTGAAAATGTTTACTATTTAAAGGATCAAAGGACAGAGGGATTTCTTCTAATAGTGTTTGTAAATAGGATGCCGAGTCGGCATCTTGTACAGCAATTAACCACTAGGAAGAATGTATGCAATATGTTAATTATTGAAACTGTCCTACCAATTTGGTTTGAAAAAAATAAATAAAATAAAAATAAATAAAATAAAGAATCAAAGGGCTGAAGAGATCTACTGAAGATAGTAAGTCCATTCTCTGCCTTTAAGCAATTTTTTAGAACCCACTTCATTTTTAAAGATTCTTAGAGAAGGAGACCTGAAATTCTCTCTTTGGATATTGTAATAATAATAAGTTAGGCTAACATTGTGAAAAAATACTTCATTACATAACATAAATCCCATGTCAGAAACTTAAACCGGTGAATTTTTATTCCATCTGCTATTGTGATAAATGAAAGGTCACCATTTTTGGAAGGATGGCAGCATGACTGCAGTATTTTTTTGCATCAAAAAAAAAGGTTTGCCCTACCAGTGTTAGCAGAAATATTTGTTCACTAAAACTATACTGCTGATTTAGTTTTATGGTGTGTTTT